TCATGCATCATAGCGAACTTTAAAAATGAGGCAATTGCGAATCAAAATCGATTAAGAAAGCATCTAAATGGTGCACATTTTAACTATCGCAAAATCATTGAACATATGTCTTTTTACAGGACAAAGAAAGAATTTTAAAAGCATTATTTATATATTTTGACTGTTGTAAAGACACTAAAATCCTTCGTGTGAGAAAACCAATAATTTCTCGGAGAAGATCACGGAAGTGGCAAAAGCATTTTAGACACCATGCAACACTTAGTTATGCGTCACCATGGCTGCAAATGTTAAAAGACGAAAAAAGCGTTTGTTTCAGCGTTGCCTATTCAAAATGTCACTATTGTTCAGCTACAAAGGCCTTTCATCTTTTTGGTTTAACTTTGTTCATTGTAGGTACTTCAAAAACACCTCAGCTTGTGCGAAAGACTTCATCTCTCGTCTTTTTGTTCGAGACGTTACTCGCCGAGCCACGGTGGACGATTGTCTGCGGCATCCGTGGATCAGAGGGGTACGAAATTGGGCCTACAAGCTTGTTAATCTATTTTTTTCCTTTGAGGTATTTTTGCCCTTATTTCAGCCAGATGGAGACGACGTAGACTTGCGTAAATTATCCTGCATCTCCATATCGCATATTCACTCATTCAAACAGCGGCAACGATGGCGGGTAAGCAATTCGTACCGACTTTTACCATTTTTCGAAGTGATGCAAAAGTTTTTAGCGAGCTGTTGAACTAGTGATGGTATGCAATCGAGTTACGCGATCAGTGCGATTGGCGATTAACCAAGCGACGAAAATGCAGCGAACGATTGAAACGCGATACGATCCGGTAAGTGCTTCAGTCGAATTTATAAAATTGGCAGACAAAATTAGCAAACAGGATTCAAGGATTTCTCTTGTTGTCAAAAAAAAAAGAAGACGAGATTGAATTTTTCTAGTTCGAAAATAGGACATCAATGGATAGGCGATACTTGAAAACAAAGCTGAATGTTGTAAAAAAAATTAGATTATAGCTAAGAAAGCAATATTGTGACACGGT